GTGAAGATTTAAATAGTAGTAGAAGTAGATAAGGAACCTTAGGGATGACAATATGTGTGTTTTGATTAAAATAATCAACGTAAAATTGCTTTTGAGGTCCATTGCAGCTAGTTCTGAAAATTTCGCTTTTTCATTGTTATTCCATGTCTTTCGATCGAAATTCCACTACTGTACCCCTGGTAGGTTGTGCTCATTACAATTTACTGATTTGGTTTTGAATTGATCATTATTTGTGTATTTATCACTCAAAATCTGCTTGAACGACCTGAGGCGAGCGCGCCCGCAAAATCGCCGCGGTCCCACGTGGCCAAAAAAGCCAAAACTCGCGTTGTCGTCAATGTGTTAAAGCAACACCCCAGATGGAATTTTTGGGGTCACACGGCCGATAATGGAGTTGTTTATGCCGAGTTGACTAAAAACGAAAAAAAAGCAAAGAAAACCGTCGATGAAGTTCTAAAAAGGCTTTCCCCTGAAAGAAGAAGGGGCGGAGCCGAGTTAGTGCGAACTTGGCTGCTCCACGGCTCAACCAACCCGCCCATATTTAAATTAGCCTCTCCCCTCTGCTTCTTATAGGGTGTACGCGACGTAACTCGTCCAAATGCTAATATCAGTCGCCGGAAACTGGCTTTGTAAGACCCTAGCGCCTTTCGAACCGTCACAACGGCACATCTGTGACACTCGTGGGCTACTGTACCCCACCCATGAACAGATTCTTTGACACAGTCTCTGCTGGCTTGAGCTAGGCTGCTGCCGCGCCGTTTAAACGACTAGCACAAGTCATTTTGGGAAACTACATCTGGTCTCAAACAGGAAAGCTCATCAGAATAAAGCCCTTCCGAAGAGAAAAGTTCACCTGAATCCCTTTCCCAAGAGGTGTACAGATAGCGTTTGCATGACAATCGCTCGAGTAGCAAGCGGTGAAAGGATTCATCTGATCCGGAGAAATGTACAGTTTGGATTGGCCAACCTAAACAGGAAAAGATTGGTTTGTAACCTAAACTCGGAGAGAGCAGTCACTCACTTCATAGTTGTTTTTCTTGATGATATAATCGACCAAATCGGTAAAGACCGACGATGGAGCACCGACGGCACCACGAACAAAGTGAGTTGTGAAGTTGTACAGTACACCGGAGATCCAAGACTGAAATTAGGGGTCGATGAGATGATTGTGCACAGTGTGAGAAAGGAGAACGGGGCGAAAGAGGGATGAAGAAGTGAGCAATTAATTGCAAGACCACGAATGATTTGAGGGATTT